ACCGGTCGATCAAATCCACGGAATATTCAGTGTTGGAGCTCAGGTAGTATATGTGTGTGCATGTACCCGTCCAGGAGTAGGTCGTATTGCTGACCGAAGAGCTTCGCAACGATAACCTCCTTGAGGATGCCAATAGCAATAACTTCTGAATCAATTCCCAACGTGACGTACTCTTCCTTCTCTGGGTCCCACAGCATGTAGTACTGGCAACGAGCTGCGGTATCGTATGGCCACGTTTCCACTAGCATGTATTTCTTCGAGGCGTGCCAGTATCCATCTTGCAAGGGTTGCGGTGGATCCTGTCCTTTGTGCGGTTCTTGTGGACGATCGTCAATGGTAACTCCGCATGTACCCTCGATGCATTGGTTTTGTATGCGTCAATACGTCTGTCGTAGAGATTACGTTTGTCAACACGTAAACGTCAATACGTCATACGTATTTGGCTCCTCCTCCTCCTCCTCCTTCTCCCCCTCATTCCCCTCCCCTCCTCCTCTTCCTAATCTCTCCCTCCAGTCCTCCATCCTGATCTTCCCTCCTCCCACCTCCCGCCTTCTACACAAGCCCATCCCTTCCACCATCCTTCCTCCCCCCCGCTCCTCCTCCCTCCTTCTCCTTCTCCTCGTCCTCCTCCTCCTCCTCGAGTTTTTCGGATGCCCTGGAAGACCTTCGGGGGCCGTCTCGGCAACGGCCGAACCCGACCCGAAGAGAGTCTTGGCCACAGCGCACCCCCCTGGAGAGATTCGGCGGTCGACTCTTAGGCGCTGCTGCCGCCCAGGCCTCGACGCTCCTCCTCCTCCTCCTCCTCCTCCTCCTCCTCCTCCTCCTCCTCCTCCTCCTCCTCCTCCTCCTCCTCCTCCTCCTCCTACTCCGAGCTCGGAGTTGAAGGCAAGACTGTCCACAAGGGTTTTCCTCCTCTTCTCCACTCCTCCCTCCTGCTCCCCCATCCCCCATCCTCCCTCCTCCTCCTCCTCCCTCCTCCCCCTCCTATTCCTCCTCATCATCATCCTCTTCCTCCTCCTCCTCCTCCTCCTCATCATCATCATCATCATCATCATCATCATCATCATCATCATCATCATCATCATCATCATCATCATCATCATCATCATCATCATCATCATCATCATCATCATCATCATCATCATCATCATCATCATCATCATCATCATCATCATCATCATCATCATCATCATCATCATCATCATCATCATCATCGCCAGCATGGTCATTACTATTATCAGCATCATCATCATCAGCAGCAGCAGCCGCATCATCATCATCATCATCATCATCATCATCATCATCATCATCATCATCATCATCATCACCATCGTCATCATCATCATCATCATCATCGCCAGCATGATCATTACTATTAGCAGCATCATCATCATCAGCAGCAGCAGCCGCATCATCATCATCATCATCATCATCATCATCATCATCATCATCCTCATCCTCATCCTCATCATCATCATCATCATCATCATCATCATCAGCATCATCATCGTCGTCATCATCATCATCATCAGCAGCAGCATCATAATCAGCATCATTACCATCAGCATTAGCATCAGCAGCATCATCATCAGTATCATCAGCATCATCATAAGCATCGTCAGCAGCAGCATCACCATCATCGTTATAGTCATCGTTAGCATTATCATCACCACCACCAGCATTATCATCATCACTATCATCATCGGCATCAGCATCAGCATCAGCAGCATCAGACTCATCATCATCGTCATCATCATCAGCATCATCATCATCGCCGTCGTTATCAGCCTCATCAGCAGCAGCAGCATCAGTATCGTTGTCAGTATCATGATCATCATCATCATCATCATCATCATCATCATCATCATCATTATCATCGTCATCATCATCAATCATCACCATCACCATCACCATCTCTATCATCACCATCATCATCAATATGGTCATCATGCACCTCCTCCCTCCCTCCCCCTCCCTCCCTCCTTTACCCCCTCCTCCTCCGCATCGTCTTCCTCACTCTGGGATGCCTCGAAAACAACAAGAACGAACGACGACGACGAAGACGACGACGACGACGATGACGGCGGCGGCGGCGGCGGCGGAGCGACGCGGACAGCGGGCGCTTGCTGCTCCTACGATGAGAACGATGCCATGATGCGATTGGCTCAGGATGCGTGTGCGGTATCCCTCTGCATCTAGTGGCCCTCGTCTCTGAAACCCGCGCGGAGCAAGATTATCATGATCTATTGTTCCTCTGACTCCCACCGCCGCTCCTCCAATACGAAGTAGAAAGACAGTCTCGAAGCAGGTACAGCAGAAGTCGGGGTAACGAACTCGCATGCAAAAGCGAAGCGCTAGCTCACCCGAAAATCACCGGTGTCACGCCAAATTGCTGCAGTGACACACACACACAGACACACACACGGACCCGTGCGACGAAGCGTGCCAGAGCAGCGACAAGGCAGTGAGAGAGAGAGAGAGAGCGGGAGAAGGAGGGACAACGATAACGCTACGCCGTCTGTTGGCGTCATCGCTCGCGCATTTCCCTCCCGGCCTGCACTGCTCGCTGGACGTGGGGCTCGTCCCCTTGCCCTCGGCCGCCCCCCCCGCCCAATCTGCCACGCGGCCCCCGCCCCACCTCGCCCCCATCGTCCATCGCCCCCCATCGCTCGCCTCTGGCCTCGCCGCGCCCCTTGCCTCGCCACGCCCCCCTCTTCTCCGCCGCCCAGCGCCGCTTCGCCTCGACTCGCCCTGCGGCTGCCCTCGGGCGCCCCCCTTCCGCCCGCACCCCCCCCCCCCGCGCAGCCAGGCTGCCGCCTCCACCCGGGTGGCGGCTCGCCCGCTCCCACCTCCCTCCCTTCTGCTCGCCCCCCGCCCTGCCCATCCACCCCCTGATGGCCGCGCCAGCCAAGTAGATGTACGCCCACACGACAGCAGCAGGGAGGGGAGGACGAGAAGGGGAGAGAGGCAGAGAGAGGAAGGGAGAGAAAGTGGAGAAGCTATCCAGCGAGCGGAAGCCCAAATGGATCATGCGGCGTCCTCTTACGTGCCACTTGAAAAGCGTATGTCAAGTATCACCCAGTGGAAGCAAGCAGGCAGGCAAGAAGGCTGGACAGAACGCACGCACGGAAGAAGATACGATGCCCGCCACACTTTTTGCTCACTCGAGCGAATTTTCCTGTGGCCAGGATAATTCCGCGACGCTTCCCTGCACGTCGCTAAACAAGGGAGAGCAGGAAGAAAGAGAAAGAGGAGGGGGAGGAGGAGGAGGTTGAGGAGGAGGCGGAGGAGGAGGAGGAGGAGGAGGGGGAGAAGGGGGAAGAGGGATAGGAGGGAGAGGACGGAGAGGAAGTGGAGGAGGGAGAAGGGACGAGGCGGGGGAGGAGTGTGGAGGAGAAGTACGTGGAAGCAGAAGATGGAGGAGGGAAGAGGGAGGAGGGCGAGGAGGAGAAGCGGGACCGAGGGGGGAGGGCCAGCGGCAGAGCTCGAAGCGGCAGAGAACCCCTTGCAAAGAGATAGCCCTGGAAGGCTAGGGGCACATCCCGAAATCCGCCGGAGGCATACCATGGAACTTCGGACGCTGCTCAAAGCCCTAGCAACTTGTCGAAGATCTTCCAGACCCCTCGAAAAAACGTTCGAATACGTTTCCAAACCGTCCGAAATATACCGGTGACACCGCTTTTGAGCAAAACAAGAGAGGTTGTCATGATTCACGACGGGCACGACGGCGACGGTGACAGCGACAACGGCGACGGCTGTAACAACGAACGCGACGACCACGACGACGACGACGACGACGACGACGACGACGACGACGACGACGACAACGACGACGACGGCGACGACGACGACGACGACGACGACGACGACGACGATACGTAGACGACGACGACGACGACGACGACGACGACGACGACGACGACGACGACGACGACGACGACGACGACGACGACGACGACGGCGACGACGACGACGACGACGACGGCGACGGCGACGGCGACGGCGACGGCGACGGCGACGGCGACGGCGACGGCGACGGCGGCGACGGCGACGACCCCCTCTGACCAGCCTGGAACGCAGTTCTATCACTGATGATTGGCATCACATCCTCTCGGCGCGTACATCTCTCATACTGCTGTCGCCGCGGACCTGCCAATCCTTGGGACAGGAATGAATTCTGGGCTGGTTATCCTCGGATATCAGGAGAGGAAGAGACGGCACAAGCAAAAGGAGAAACTTTCGGAGGCCCACTCGGAGTTCTTGGATCGGCGTTGGACCCCCTCCCTGGCGCGCTCCGCGCGCCGAGGGCGGCGACGTAGGCTCTGGCACCGCCTCTGGCGCGCATCGCGAGGGAGGCAAGGGGTATCCAGTGCCGATCCAAGAAAGCCGCGCGGACCTCTGAACCCTTCTCTTCTCCCCCTGAACCAGACGTTCGATTGTCTTGAACTTCTCGAGACGGGGCCCCTGAAGTCTGGGCAATTTCTCGATGGCCAGCTCTTCGTCCTGTGTCGTGTTTGACAATCCTGGGGCCCGGCTAAGGCTTCCAGAGGCCGAAAACGGCGGAGAACGTCTGCGTTGAGCTTCTCGAAACGTTGGAGGTGTGGGCCCGAAGATAGCCGCTTCCTGGCGCGAGGAGAGCGCCAGGGGCGGCACCGGAGGCGCGATCCCAGGTATCCGCGTGGACTTCCCGAAAGCCTGTGCTCGTGCCGCCTCTTGGCGGCGCGCACAAGGGGGAGGGAGGGGGGAGGGCTTCTTAGAAGGAGGCAGCTTCTTAGAAGGCGCCGGCCTTACATCTGTAGATGAGGCCCGCGCCTTCTAAGAAGCAGGGGTGCTTCCGAGCAGCCCTCCCCCCTGCCCCCACCCCCCTCTGCGCGTGGCGGAGCCTCCCCTCGCCCCGACGAAGATGCCACCCCGCCAAGAAGAGAGAGAGAGAGAGAGAGAGAGAAAAAAAAAAAAAAAAAAAACAAAAAAAAAAAAAAGGCGCCCCCGGCCGCGGGCGCCTGGCTCCCCCCGCGGGCCGCGCGCACGGGCGCCCCCGGCTTCGCCGCCCGCGACGGCGGCCTGGCGGCCGCCTGCCCGACCGGGCGGGGGGCGGCCGGCCGGCCGGCGGGCCCGCCCGCGGGGGCCGGACGCCGGCGGGCGCGGCCGCGGCCGCGGCGGGGCGGCCGAGCGGCGGCGGCCCCCCCCAGGGCCCTCGGGCTTCCCGGAGCCCCAGAACGAACGACACGCTCCATCGGCCCCGAGGCCGTCCCGAGACGGGCGGCGCGGTGGCGCCTCAGCGCCCTCGGTTCTGGCACTCGACGGTTGATTCCAGCCAGCGCTTGCTCTGCCCACCATGCCGCCGGACACGGTTCTCTGGTTCCCGGAGCCCCGGGAAGGGACTGAACAGGACAGAGCAGAAGCCGTGCGCCCAAAGGCGCGTCGGCAGGCGCGACAGGATGAACGAATTCAGACAGAGCAGGTCAGGTAGGGTGCACGCAGGAAGTGAGGGACGCGCGACGAGCGGGGGCGGGAGGCGAGGAGGAGCGAGCGAGGGAGGGACGAACGACGAGGGGGGACGACCGAGGAACGCGAGGAAGGGACTGGCCGCAGGCATAGGATGGTGTCGCCAAAAAAATCAGGACAGCAAGTTTGTCGCCACGTTCGGCCCCTGCAGGAGGGCCCTCGCTGGGCCCGGGAGCGTCCAGAAGAGGGGTGCAGAACCGGGGAAGGGGTCTTGGACTTCTGCGGGGACGCCGCACTGAAAAATCAGGACGTCGCATGTCTGGGGCCGAGGGACTGTCCCGGGGAAGTGGCCGCCCCCTGGCATCCGACGCCGCGAAGACACGGCAGCAGAGCGGGACATCACGGGCGAAGCCCCAGACCCTGGGCCAGATCGAGCTGTGAGGGGCCCCATGGGCCCGAGCCAGGCAAAACGCTGGTCGTGACAAATGCAACGCCAGGATCTGGGAACGACGGACCGCCACAGGGGGCTGGCCGCCAGGGCCCCGGGGTTCCCTGAGCCCCAGGCTGGACTGCCCAAGGCGTGGGGCTAGACGAGAACCCCAGGGCCTCGGGTTTCCCGAAACCGTGCTGGGGCTTGGCTGGCCTCAGAGACTCCAGGGCAAGAAGGAAGCCCATCGGCGGACAAGGGTTGATTACCCCAACGGCAGGATCAGTCGGCATTGAATCGGGAAATCAGAGCGAATCGGAGTGGGCGGCGAATCGGCCTGCATGGGCAGGGAGTCGAAATCGAATCGGATCGGCCGCGCCAGGATACACAACAGCGACAGGTAAGCATCGGGCCCATCTGATCGTCGGAATATCGGAGTCGAACAAGACTGGTCTAGCCGAAAGCAATTATCGAATGGGATCGGTCAATCAATCGAAATGGACCCTCACCAGTGGGCCTTCCCCGTCATTGCTATCCCCTCCTCCCCTCCCATCACCTCCCCTTCCTCCTCGGACTTTTCAGCGCTGTAGACCGATGCGCTATTCATCTAACCTGAAAGGTGGGCTCTCTCGTCTTCTGTACACTTCAGCGTTGGTTTCGCTTCAGCTGAGATGCACGTCGAAGCGCCTTCGCTTTCCCTCAACAGTCTTCCTCTCCCCCCATCAGCTCCCCCTCTTCCTCCGACCTGCAGTCGGCCAGACCCCTCTCCGCCCCTGCTGCTGCGAAGCAGAAAGAGACAGAAGAGAAGGAGGAGAAGGAGGAGGAGGAGACGGAACAGGGTTTGGAATAGGAGCAGAAATAGGAATAGAAAGAGGAGCATGACCAGGAACAGGAACAGGCACCGAAACATAAACATAAACAGGAACAGGAACAGGCACAGAAACAGAAACAGGAACAGGAACAGGAACTATTCCTATAGGAATAGGAATAGGAATAGGAATCGGAAAAAGGAATTAGCCGGGCGGAGGACCCAACCATATGCAGGTGGAGCTCCCTATGGGGCCACACAACGCTGTCCTGGGTGGGGGAGACGCATGCGAACGCCCCCATTGGGGCCTTCGGTGGAGCTCCCTATGGGGCCACGAAGCGCTGTCCTGGGCGGGGGGAACGCATGCGAACACCCCCACTGGGGCTTTCGGTGGAGCTCCCTATGGGGCCACGAAGCGCTGTCCTGGGCGGGGGGGGACGCATGCGAACACACCGATTCTGGCGTTCGGTAGAGCTCCCTATGGGGCCACGAAATATTGGATTGGGTAGGGGGAGACGCATGCAAACACCCTCACTGGGGCTTTCGGTCAAGCTTCCCATGGGGCCACGAAACGCTGCCCTGGGTAAGAAACCGCATGCGAAGACCCCCGCTGGGGCCTTCGGTGGAGCTCCCTATGGGGCCACGAAGCGCTGCCCTGGGTAGGGGAACCGCATGCGAACACCCCCACTGGGGCCTTCGGCGGAGCCCCCCGTGGGGCTACGAAACGCTGCCCTGGGTGGGGGAACCGCGTGCGAACACCCCCATTGGGGCCTTCGGTGGAGCTCCCTATGGGGCCACGAAGCGCTGTCGTGGGCGGGGGGGACGCATGCGAACACCCCCACTGGGGCTTTCGGTGGAGCTCCCCATGGGGCCACGAAACGCTGCCCTGGGTGGGGGCACCCCCACTGGGGCCTTCGGTGGAGCTCCGGCCACGAAACGCTGCTCTGGGTGGGGGAACCGCATGCGGGCACCCCCATTGGGGCCTACGGTGCAGCTCCCTATGGGGACACGAAACGCTGCCCTGTGTGAGAGAACCGCATGCGGACACCCCCACTGGGGCCTACGGTGGAGCTCCCTATGGGGCCACGAAACGATGCCCTGGGTGGGAGAAACGCATGCGAAAGCAGCCACTGGGGCCTTCGGTGGAGCGCCCTATGGGGCCACGAATCGCTGTCCTGGGCGGGGGAACCGCATGCGAGAGCAGCCAGCCACTGGGGCCTTAGGTGGGGCTCCCTATGGGGCCACGAAACGCTGCCCTGGGCGGGGGAACCGCATGCGAGAGCAGCCACTGGGGCCGTCGGTGGAGCTCCCCATGGAGCCACGAAACGCTGCCCTGGGTGGGGGAACCGCATGCGCCCCCCCCCCCCCACACTGGGGCCTTCGGTGGAGCTCCCCATGGGGCCACGAAACGCTGCCCTGGGTGAGGGAACCGCATGCGAGCTGTGCCATTGGGACCTTCGCTGGAGCTCCCTATGGGGCTACGAAACGTGTGACAGGTGTGCCGAGAGCAAAGGCAAGGAGGGGGAGGGGAGGAGGGAGGACGAAAAAGGGAGGAGGGGGAGGAGGAAGGAGGGAAGGAGGAGACGCGGGGCGCTGTCTATCCAAAACGAGGACCCAACACCACAGGACGGTTGGGAAGAATATGAATAGGAATAGGAATCGGAAAAAGAAAAAGAATAAGAATCGGAAGAGGAATAGGAATACGCATAAAACTAAGAACCGGAATAGAAATGGGAATTGGAATTCGGAAAATGAATAGGAATAGGAATAATAATAATAATAGGAATAGAAATCGGGATATGAATAAACATACGAATATAAATAGGAATACGGATAGGAATTGGAATTGGAATACAAATAATCTTGCGAGGGCGATAGTAATCACCGGGGGAAATAAAAATCGGAGGTCTGGCGGGGATAATAAAGGATGTTTCCGGAGACGGTAAATTATGATGATGACGACGATGATCATGATGATGGCGATTCCGGGCGCTCGGCACAAGACTGACTCGAGAGACCCCGATGCTCGCGGCTATACAACTTGCCAACAGGCGCTCGGCACAAGAAGGACTCGAGAGATCTCGAGGCTCGTGGCTATACAACTTGCCAGCAGCCCCAATGGCCCTGCCACACGCTCCTGACTCGGGAACGGCCGAGAAAGTGAAAATCCCATGGCCCTGCCGCATGTTCGTGACTGGGGCAAACTGAACTGGTGAGAACCCCACAATCCTGCCACACGCTCGTGCTTGCGGAAGCTGATGTTGTTGCTTGATGTTTTGAATGCTGTTGCTAGTCAACATGCTCAGCGTTTTTGATGCTCAGCGTTTTTGATGCTGTTGCTAGTCAACATGAGACGATAGCAACTTCGATTCGCAACTTCCCCCGTGGATTATAAAGCTCGGCCTCCGCGCCCTTCTCCACAATTAAATCCTTTTGAACGGGGATCATGAAAATAGAAACCCTCAAAGGGGGTATGTTTTATCATCGCCCGTACGCGGTTATGAACAATGACAGAAATAAGAATAGGAAAAGGAATTGGAATAAGAATGCTAATAGGAATAGGAATGGGTATTTTGATGGGAATAAGCATAGGAATAGGAATAGGAGTAGTTGAGAATAAGAGTAATAAGAAGAATCCGAATAGGACTAGCTATTGTACGGTGACAACGAAAGTGAACTTGGCTACCCGCCACCATGACATCTTCCAGCGTCGAGACGAAAGGGAAACCGTGCGAGACCACGAAGCACTACACCAATACAAGCTCAAATTGAAAATGTTCCCCCGCACTCCCAAAGTGCCAGTGCGCTCAAACAATCTTAATCAAGCGGAACCACAATGCCCCAAACGTGAAACATGCGTAGTACGACTGGCAAGACAAACCAGAACATTGAAAGCATGATACCACCCGATCGCCGTGTGGGAAGCCAGCTCCGAAACGCCGACCACACACTGAACTGTTTGCCACCGGCCTTGACGAAATGCAAGGCGAAAATTGCACATGCAAGTGTGCGCGGAAACCCCCACAAAATGTTGCAGCCTACTGCCGTGGACACTCGTTGTTTGACCCAAGCGGGAAACTTGGAACAGACGCGGGTTACTGTCCATGCTGCGCCGTCATCTCATTCAGGCCATCGAGTACGTCTTCAGAGAAAATGACCGCGCCCCCGCCCCTCTCAACACGAGGGCCGTGCCGAAGAACTCCAGCAGTGGCCGCACGGCGAGGAGCGGGGATCCTGCAAATCCTGGCTCGGCGACCCCGCGGCAGCCAGCCTCCACTGCAGGGCCGCACGCCCGACCTCCGCCGAGTCCTCCGCCGCGCCGAGAGCTCCGTCCGCCGCCTGCGCCTGCATCGTCACAGCGCCCTCGCCCAGGAAGGCACCTCCCGCAGGGGCCCCGATGGGCCCGCCGAGCGATGGGGCCGCCGGCGCCTCGGGGTCGCCGGCGGCCCGCACTGGCCTGGACATGGGGAGACTGCGGAGCGAGAGCTCCAGTGGTGCCTGCTCGGAGTTCGAGCCCAGCTGGCTCGAGCCGAGCTGGCACTGGAGGAGGAGGAGGAGAGGGAGGAGGAGGAGGAGGAGGAGGAGGAGGAGGAGGAGAAGAAGAAGGAGGAGGAGGAGAAGCAGCAGCAGGAAAGGACAGAAAAGAGGCACTACATTAGAGAAACGGGGGGTATGACAAGAGGCATGAAGCAGGAGGCAGGAGGCACGAGGCAAGAGACACAAGACCAGAGGCAAAAGGCAAGAGACAGCAGGATCTGCAGGGGATGAAAGCGAAGAGAGTAGAGAGAAAAGAGAATGGGCGATAGGCAATAGTCCAGGAGGTGGGCAAAAAAGATACGAGGCAACGTGATTTCTTTAAGATAAATGACCAATTGCTGAGAGAGGGGACTTGAAAGAAAATGCAAAAGCGAACAGGGGAGAGACAACAGACTTCACACAAGAAACAAGCCACAACTGAGAACATGCAAGGCAACATGTTCAAACGAAAGAGACGAGCGAGGAGGGAGACGAGAGGAGTCACCAGAGACATGATGAGGTGAGAGAAGAAAGATAAGACAATAAAAGCCGACAGGCACACACTTAGACACGTGCATGTCGGCAGCACACAGGAACCTCAGGCGCGGTCGGCAAAGGGAGGTGCCAATTGTGAACGAACGTGGTCGAACGCGCCGCGATGAAAGGATCCAGCCACGCCCGTGCAGATTGGTGGTGGTGGAGGGGAAGGAGGCACTGGCAAGCCAAAATGCAGCGGCCAATCATCCCGCGGAGCGTGGCTCCTAGAACACACACACACACACACAGTGGATGTCACGAACCGAAGTAAAAGAGCAAGGACGGGCAGGAGGCGAAAGGGAGCCAAGAGAGATGAGACGAGCAGAAGCAGGAGGGGAAGGGGGCGCAGAAGCCGAGCGCAGGGCGGCAGAGCACCGCCAGGCCCGGGCGCACACCGATCGCACGCCGCACCTCGGGCGAGAGCACCGAGCGCGGCCACCCGGCGCGAGCACGCACACGCTGGGCGCACGGGGGCAGCCCACGGGCCACGGCCACGACCGGCCACCGAGGGTCTCCCCGTGGACTGGCAGGGCCGACGCGCGGACCTCCACGGCCTGGCCCGCCGAAACCACCCTCTGGCTGCCGGGACTGGCCAGCCGACGCCGAGGCGGCGGACCTCGACGCCAACGATGAAAACGACGACGACGACGAGCAGCCAAGCGGCGGTGCCTTCTTCGGCGGCGGGGACGGTGTCTTGCGCTGCTGCCGCGGCTGTCGCGGCGTCTGCGCGACTGGGGGCGCCTTCGGCGGCGGGACGTTGCGCTTCGGGGGAGCCTCTCGGCGCTTGAGGGGGGCGCGGGCGCGCCAGCTCCTCCGCTGCACCCCCTGGCGCGAACTCTGCGCCCCTCCCCTGCCGTTCCCTTGCCCGCCCCCCTGGCCCCTCGCCGCTTCCTTCCCCCATTCCTGCTTCCATGATTCCTCGTTCCCCCCCTCCTTCCCGCTCTCGGGCTTCCTCGTCCAACACAACGCTCCTCAACCCATCCCCTGGCTCCCGCACCGTGCCTCCGCCTAGCTGCTCTGCTTCCCCAAGGAGGCCGCCCGCCAGCCGCACTGCCGCGCATGGGAGGGGGGCGGGGGCGGCCTTGGCCCTGGCCCTGTCTACCTTCGGCTTGGCAGCAGCCGCCTTCGGCTTGGCAGCAGTGGCCGGCTGCCCCGAAGGCTTGGCGACATTGGCCGCCTGCCCCGCCCTTGCTCATTGCCTCCCTTGCCCACTCACCGGAGGGGAGCCAAAAGGGGGGAGGGGACTGGCTCAGCACGAGCACGATCACGAAACCTCACGCTGTCCTGCGCGTAGGCGGGAAAGGCCGGAACTCAAGCGTTCACAGCCAATGCGCCAACGAAACAGGGCAATGGGACCAGGAGGAGGAGGAGGAGGAGGAGGAGGAGGGGAGGCTGAGGAGGAGGAGGAGGAGGAGGAGGAGGGAGCGAGAAAAAACACACAACACATGTCTGGCATTCACAGTACAACACATGTCTCGCATTCACAGTGCGGTGCCCTCCTGCCAGGGTGCTCGGGCCGAGCCAAAAAGCGGTTCACATCTAGTATTCCTCCGGTACTTTTTCCTGGCTCCGAATGGCAATTGGAGAGGAAATGTTCCATTATCGCGTCTGTCGGAAATATCCATTCCCATACGTTTTCCATATGTTTGCGTCGGTGGTGAAGCATGTCTTGTACAAGCACGTGGCCCATTCGTTATGCCGGACTGGCTCAGGGGACTGGGCAACAAGATCGACACATATATGGGGAGAGAGAGAGAGAGAGAGAGAACAAGACCAAAAAAGAGAAAGAGACAGAGCGAGCAAGAAAGATGAGGGGAGTAAGGGAGGAAGGGAGAGGAGGGAGTCAGAGAGAGAGAGTAGACGGGTGCGTGGGAGAACTTGTCGAGTGAGAACGAAGGCACTGACAGCCCAAGAATTTCCGATGAAGGGGTCTTGTGGCCTTCCAGGAATGCCCAAGAGCGGGATCGGAGGACCCCTGGGCACTCCAGGGGGGCACTCCAGAGGGGAAGCGAGGAGGGGGAGGCTCCGTGTTCGGCAACGGACCCCTTCTCTCCGCCGCCGCCGCCGCCGTCAGGCCGCTGCGCGCAATCCGACGAGGACAAAAACGACGACGACGACGACGACGACGACGACGACGACGACGACGACGACGACGACGACAACGACGACGGCAGGCGACGGGGACGGCGGCCGCAGCACCTCGGGGGCGCGCAAACATGAATCGGGGGCGGTGCCCTCCCCAAAATGCAACCGGGGCCGCCTCGCTCGGAGGCGGAAACCTCCTCCTCCTCCTCCTCCTCCTCCTCCTCCTCCTCCTCCTCCTCCTCCTCCTCCTCCTCCTCCTGCCCATGGAAACGGGACCCGTCGCTGACCCGCGCCCCCTTGATCCGCGTCTGCGATCGCCTGGGCACCAGCGGCGCGCGCCCAGCCGCACGAGCCCCATGGCTCCCCCCTGGCACCGCGCGCTGGCGGGCCGTGCTCGTCGTCTGCCCGGGCACCGGCCGGGTGCGCGCGGGGGGCTTCGCCTCGGGCGGCGCGGGGAGGACAGGCGAGGGGCGGGGAGGCACCCGCCAGGCCGGGGGGGGGGCGGCACCGCTGCAGGCTCTCCTTCGGGGGGGAGGCCCCCAGCCGCAACCGGAGGGCCCGCCCGCGACGGCGGCAGCTGCTCTGGCCACGGCCGCCCGCCCTCCGAGGGGGGGCAGGGCCCGCGCCCGACCCCTCCGCCGCCCCGCCCCGCACGGCCTCGGCGCCTCCGCTACACCTCCGCTCTTCCATGATCGGGGGCGCGCAAACATGGATTGGCGATCCATGGATTTGGCGCGGGGGGCATGTGTTCTCCCCAGAGTACGGCCGGTGCCGCCTCGTTCAGCGGCGGAAATCTGCGGCTTCCTATGGAAACGGGACCCGTCGCTGATTCACGCCCCCTTGATCCATGTTTGCGATCGCCTGACATGGGCATCGCTCAACCGATCCCCATCCCCACTGGTGTGGCCTCGGCCCCACTGGCCGATTTACCCCCCCCCCATGGGGATACGGGCTGTTCCCACTGCGGGCTTCGGAGGGGCATCTCCCCAGCTGGGGGGTCGGATGGTTGCGCTGAGATACCATGGCCCAGTTACACGAGGCGGATGCCGCGCCCCACCTCTGCTCCACGCCTCCGCTCCTCATCCGCTCTTCCGCGCCCCGCCTCGTTCCCTGCCTCGGCACAGAAGGGAGGAGATCCCCCATCGCGGCTGGAGTGGAGAACATCCCGGACGGGCGGGCGGTTGCGAGTGACCAGCCAAAGAAAGCAGCCCATCGCTGGCAGCAAAGCGCGCGAGGACGCGGGGCCCAAGAGAGCCAGAAAAACTCTGGCTCGTCAGCGTCGGCCAGAGCTCATCTTGAGATGCAATGACAAGGCGCGGATCCCCCGCCTCGCTCCCTCCCTCCCTCGCCTTCCCCCGCCCCGCCCCCCCCCCATCTCTCGCCCCTCTTCTCCACCCTCAATCCGTTTCGCTTGCCCCAGCCTTGGTCAAGATCCTGACGGCCGCGTGCCGCGTGAGATAAAAGCGCAAGCGCTTGGATTCCTTCCCTCCCTCCCTCCCTTCCTCCCTCCCCCGTCCCGCCCCGGCTTGCTTCAGCGACGTCGGCCCGTTCCCACGCCTCGGCTCTCCTCCCCCCTTTGCAGCGCGCTGCACGCACAGCACCCCATGTGAATGTCCCTCTCATTCCAACTCCGCTTCCGGGCATTTCCTTCCGATTCCGTGGCTGCGGGCATTTCCTTCCGATTCCGCGCGCCCCTCCTGGACGCTCCTCTTCTGTCACGGAGCCCCTGCCTTCCGGTCAGGGTGAGGCGTACACGCTGGAAGATGCATCTCGCAACGGCCGCGGCAGCGAACGAGACGCACGAGCCGCAGCGAGCCCTAGAGATGAGCTCGCGGAGGAATACGGGTCGCAGAAACGGCCGCGCTGTCGCTGCAGAGCACTCCTGCGACACCCTTCCTGTCCGCCCCGGCCCGCTGCTCAACTCCGACTCCTGGGCTCCTGCGGCTCAGGAGCAGAGGAGGGGGGTCTGGCGGCGCGCACGGAGGGTGGCTCGAGCGGAGCAAGCTTCCAAGACAACGGAGGGCTTCTTAGAATGCAAGCGGCTTCTCAAGAGGGCCCAGGGGAGTCCAAGAAGGAGGCGTCTTGGCAGCCAACAGCCCCTTGCCTTGTGAGAGAGCCACCCCCCGCGCCTTCTGACAAGGCCACGTCGCCACCCCCCCCCGCCCACCCCACGCGCCGCCCCCTCACGTGGGCCGCCAAGGGGAGGTGGAGAGAGGGAGGGGGAGGACGGAGGGGGAGAACGACTAGGACAACAACGAGGGCGGAGGGGCCGCAAGGACGACCCCGCAGTCGCGACGGCTGACGCGGTGCGCCCCTAAGCCTGACTGTGAACGCCGCTGCCAGCGCGCGTGCGCGCAGCAACCGACACCTTGGGCCACCTCGCCTCCACAGCATGCCCCATACGAGACAGGGGCGAGGAGCGAGCAGGGCGACAACAACGACGACAACGCCTACACCGACGCCGACAAGAACAAGGGCGATGACGACGACGACGACGACGACGACGACGACGACGACGACGACGACGACAACGACGACGACGACGACGACGACGACAACGACGACGACGACGACGACGACCACGACGACCACGACAACGACGGCCGAGGGGACCGCCGAAGGGACGGAGGCACGGCCTTCGTGGCCGCGGCTGCCGCGGCCCTGCCCCGCGCCCCTGGGCGGCCCGCTGGCGCGCCGACGGCTGGGGCCGCGGTGGTCGTCGGGGGCGCATCCGGCGGCGGCCGCGCCGCGGGCTCCTGTGGCGTCACGGTCACGGCAACGGCCCCGAGAGAGAGCAGGGCAGCCACGGCCGGCCTCGCGGCACGGGCCGGCCAGCCAGGGCTGGCCAGCCAGGGCAGTGCGGAAGAGAGAGAGAGAGAGAGCGCGAGAGTCAGGGAGCCAGCCAGAGGGCAAGAGGGAGAGAGGGGTACGGAGACGGACGGCCTGACAGGCTGACAGACTGACAGACTGAGAGACTGAGAGACTGAGAGACTGACAGGCTGACAGACTGACAGACTGACAGACTGACAGACTGACAGACTGGCTGACTGGCTGACTGGCTGACTGGCTGACTGACTGGATCGACAAACGGACGAAAAGACTGACGAGGACCAGAAGAGAGAGAGAGAGAAGGAGCAACAGCAGAAGCTGCAGCGCATGCAGCAGCGAGAGGGAGGGGCCTCCCCTCCGCCTCATCCTGTCCGAACCGCGCTGCCCGCCCCCGTATCCTTCCAGAGCCTCGTCATCCCCCATCGCTCCAGGCTTCCCCATGCCTCGCGTGCGCCAATGCGGATGCCGCGCGCCCGCTGCATGGGGGCCCGCTGGGCGGCAGCTGCAGCTGCTGTTCCCCAAGCTGCGGCCTCCCCCTCCTCCTCCTCCTCCTCCTTCTCCTCCTCCTCCTCCTCCTCCTCCTCCTCCTCCTCCTCCCCTCCTCCTCCTCCTCCTCCTCCTCCTCCTCCTCCTCCTCCTCCTCCTCCTCCTCCTCCTCCTCCTCCTCCTCCTCCCCCAGGCGTCGCGACTGTGTCGAGGTCCCCATCCTGGGTCACCTGCGCAGCTTCGTGCCTCGCGCCGCTCGCTGGATAGAGAGAATGCTCTTTAGCCAAGCCAGGGATCTGAGAAGGGCGAAGCCTGCTCGTGCCCCGTCCAGCGCAAAGCTTATGCTCGTTATGCTCGTTCGTTCGATCATCCTCACGCCCCCCGCGGGCGGCCCTGGCCCAACCTCCGTCCGCTCCGCACCATCAGGCTCATCCACCCCCCGCTTTCCCTCCTCCCTCCTCCCCCCTCCTCCTGGCCATGCTCCCTAAACCTGCCCCATCTTCCACTCCTCCGCTCTTCGGGCCCCCTTCTGTCTTTCGTGGTGGGAAACCCTCCTTCTCGTTCTCCTCCTCCTTCTCCTCCTCCTCTTCCTCCTCCTCCTCCTCATCATCATCATCCACGCCGCTTCCTCCTCCCCGTCTCTGCTTTCCCACTTGCTCATCCTGCGGCTCTTGTGTTCATGTCATGGCAGCGCAGCCCGATGAAGCAACCATGTTCCCTCTTCCTGCCACCTGCCCCCTCCCTCTCAGCTCCTGCCCCTGACTCAATGCCCCTGACTCCAGGCTTTCTGGGAACCTCGGGAACGACGTATACCAAACCAAAAAACAGGCCCGTCCTTCTCCTCCTCCTCCTCCGCCTCCTCCTCCTCCTTCTCCTCCTCCTCCTCCTCCTCCTCATGTTCCGTCTCGGCATCCTCCTGCCGGCCGCAGTCAAGGCGGTCCCGTCGACTCTCAGAAGCGGCCACGAGAAGTTCTACACACTGCCGCAACGCCTGCTCATCCCCGAGCCGGCTTCCTCTTGAAGCTGGCCCGAGGGATCCGACTCGGGCCATGGAGTCCTCCCCCCCCTCTCCGACGCCCCAGACTCCTTGGGCATGAAAGGAACATGCTCTGAGGGAAACGGGTCCTGGACCCCGGGGGGCATCCTCGGGGACCAGCCCTTCGTCCTGAATAGTTTCTGGCGGCCCAGGAGCCCGGAGAACGGCCCCGGGAGCCGAAAAAGGCTAAACTCGGGACCTGCTTCTCCCAGGATCCATCTCTTTCATGGCGACTGGTCCTCCCCCCTCGACGCCCCCGACCCTGAGCGGTCCCGATCCCGCACATCCTTCGCCGCCAGTGCCGAGGCTGCTGCCGCGCGAGGCTGCTCCCGCAGTCGCACGCCCAGAAGCACGCCTCTTGCCTTTACGGCCAAGGCTTGACTTATCACGCGTCGAGCTCTCCCGCCGCCCCAAGGCTGTCAAGGCGGTGGGCCCTTCATTGAATTACGACTGGTCTCGGTCTAGCTCGTACAGGAATTGCGGCACCTGTTCGCGCTTCAAGCATCAGGATAACCGCCCCTCGGCTTCTGGATGCTCCTGGGAAGGTTCCTCCGACGATTTGAGGAGTGAAAGGACGTGGCCACAAGCTCCATGCGTTCGATCGCAATGATTAGAATCCTCTGTTCGTTTGCGTCTCGTCCAAAGCTTCTACTACCGCAGGGCCCCTGAAGATCCTGGGTGAAGAGTGTCTGGGCAGCAAGGGGCCACGAGACAGAACACGGATGGTCACATATTTTAAGTTGTCGCCACCCGAAGGTCAAGGAGGCCTCGGTGACGGCGGATGACCTTACTGTCGAGTGATCTTGATGGCAGGGGATGGTCCAGGTGTTCTGTTGCGATCGTCTATATCTGAAGGGGACCCAGGGACACAAATACACAGGCGAGGACCCCAGTATTCCCAAAATTGTTCCATATGTTCTGGATGTTCGTCTTCCCCTCCACTTCCCATATTTTCCCATGTTGTGATGGGAGTCGACGTTTATGTGTGTGTGTGTGTGCGTGTGACTGTCTTTTCCCTCCTGGCAATCAGCACACTGGCACCGGCACTCTGGGCAGGGAGCTGGCAATGCAACGGACCCCCGAAGAAACCAGGGGTCCGACCGTGAGCAATGGCCATTATCTTGCCCAGCTCATCCTACATCTTCTCATCCACCTCATATTAATCCTCATCATCATCATCAACAACAACAACAACAACAACAACAACAACAACAACAACAACAACAACAACAACAACAACAACAACAACAACAACCTCATCATCATCATCATCATCATCATCATCATCATCATCAGCATCATCAGCAGCAGCGTCATCATATATTTATCCATGTCCTCGTCATCATTCTATGAATATGGTGCAGACGGCGCTGCAGATCGTACAGAGTGCAGTGCAGCCCCTCCGCTGCTAAAAGAATGAGAGGGCCCCGAAAGTGTTTCCCTCCCTCTCCTCTTTCGCATGGGCCCTCCGGGGCCTCTACTCCTCGCCGGGCCCGGGGCTCGGGCCCCTCCTACGTCGACATCATTTACGACGTCAGGACTTCTGGAGAGATGCCCAAATCATCGCATCCCAAGTTTCCGCCAGCACCACCACAAGAAGCGTGTCTGCGGCATGATTCGCTCGATATGACGTTGATCCTCGCATTACTTGTCCTATTCCTCTCAACATGCGCATCATCGGTAACAGCTATCCTTATACGATTACTATTGCAACTGCTCGGAAGCATTATCAGTATGAGCTTCACCCTCATTCTTGCTCCTCCTCCTCCTCCTCCTTCGCCTCCTCCTCCGCCTCCTCCTCATCATCATTATCATCATCCTCATCATCCTCATCCTCATTCTCATCCACCCCCTCTCTCTCTCTCTCTCTCTCTCTCTCCCGCTTTCATCACCCCTCTCCTCCGCCATCACCCTGCAGCTTTAGCCCGCCCACCCCGAGCGAACCCGCCCCCCTCGCGTCCTTCGCCGCCGGGGCCGAGGCCGAGGCCGAGGCCGCCGCTGGCACGTCGGGCGGCTCGCTCTTCTGCGCCTGCGACCTCGACGGGCGGGCTCTCTCTCTCTCTCTCTCTCTCTCTCTCTCTCTCTCTGTATCCAAAGAATTTCTTTGTTCCGCCCCCCAAAAAAACCGAACAATCTTTGGTCCCGGCTCTCCTCGGAGCCGAGGCGCGGAGGGCCTGGGCTCGGGCTCCCGAGGGCTGCCGCCCGTGCCCCCGCTGCAGGCCCGGGCCAGCGGCGCGCGGGCGGGGTCCGAGGGGACGGCCTCCCTCGCCGCTCCTCTTCGGGGGGGGGGGGGGGGGGCATCCTCCGGAGGGCCCCCGCGGGCCGGGGAGAGGCCTCTTCGAAGGCAGGCGCCTTCTCAGCGGGAGGAGCCCCAGAGGCTTCCGAAGAGTCCTCTCAACAGCCAGGAGGGCTTCGGAGAAGTCCCCTGTCTGCTTAGATATCAGAAGCCACTCCTCCCCTTCTTGGAATACCTCCTCCTCCTCCTCCTTCTCCTCCTCCTCCTCCTCCTCCTCGTCCTCCTCCTCCTCCTCCTCCTCCTCCTCCTCCTCCTCCTCCTCCTCCTCGCGAGGCTGGACCCACCTCAAAGGATTGGCCGGGGATAGACCTCGGGAGGGGTCGCCTCCCTCGCTTGGGGCCCTTTGGATGCTCCTCGTTAGGGGTGGCCTTCGGAGAGGCTGGGAGAGGGCTTCTGGGTGGCCTCCGACGGAGCCTTCTGGGTGCAGCCCGAGTGGCCTTCGAAGAGCATTCTGGGTGGCCTTTTGCTGGCCAGGCGCAGCCGCAGCTCGGAGAACTGGCCAGGATGGATCCAGGGAGGGGTCTCGGGGCCGGTT